ATCCATTTTTAAATTATGCAAAAAAATGATGTTGCCTTATTTTGTGAAAAGTGTTAAAAGTTGACTTGCTGTTCAGAAGTCAATGATTACACCTTGTGTTTTCATTTAATGCATCGCTAGGCAACAAATGCATCTCCCACAGGCATATGCAAATTATATGGTAATCAATGCATAAATAAACATAATAATCAGTATTAATTCAATATATATATAAGATATATAAATGTACCTTTGCTTTTTTGAGTAGTTCTTGAACCTGGTCACCACTCAGTATGCCATGGTTGATGACGTATCGCGGAATGTTCATCAAATCATCACTCGTATTAGCATATACCGTACCGTGTAATGTAAAACGTTCATGTATGATATCTAAATATGCCTTAGAATCCTGCAGACAAAAAGCAAACACGAGTTGATGTATAAAACATATTTGGGCATGAGGAATTTTATCAAGTTAGGGAGTATGATTTATAAGTGCAAACATAAAAGGTCCTAATCATGGCAGACATAACAAATAGTGTAATTGACAAAGACTGGTCATTCACACTTGGTTTATAGGTTTCAAGCCACAATTAAACTTTGTATCAAATGCTGGGGTCACAGGGCATGAATGAATGTGGTTATCACCTCTATTTTATAATAACATTTTGCAAAGGATGGCATGCTCCTATTTTAAGCTGTATTTAAAAGAGTACCCAAATCAATAATATAGATTTGTTAATAGAATTTAAATTTCAAAGTGGTATTCTGACACATTTAGCGGGATACTTAGCTAAGTCCCAGTGTGAATGAATCATTTTAACTCGTGAGACAATGCTGTTTTCTAGCAGGATTCATAAACTAGTAATACCAATCTTTTTTATTTTCTTAACATTTGTAATACTTATAATAAATAGCCCCACTGACCTGTCCCTTGTTGTCTATGGGGAGTTCATTTGTAGTATACCGGTAAGACCAGTACATTGTTCTCTAAAGGGAGTTTACTGGTAGTACAGGACCTGTATATTGTTTTCTATGGGAAGTTAACCATAGAGAGTATAGTAGGACTACTATATAGTAGGACTGCAGTGTGACCCCTGTATATCATTGAGTCTATTTGGAGTTTAAATATACCAAGATACCTACATACATAGAGGTACTTACCAGCCACATGTCAGCTTTCTTACCATATACGACTGCCATATCATTTTGCTTTGGCACTGGTCTCTCAAAATCCTCATCCTGTAAATCATTTTCAACAACAAATCCCATAAATGAGTTGTCTGGCGTGTGAGCTGTAAATTACAAAAACACTTTTTATCCATTGCATTTTGTAAAATTATGCATTTTGTTATCTTCATATTAAAAGCACCAGTCGTAAGGTATCCTAATTGTACTTTGTTTTTTGTTTGCTGAGCTTCTTTGGTTAAGCCCGTCCTTCAAGCATAGACAAACATGTAAAATATAATTGTAACTTAACTCCACAGCAGGCAATCAGCTAACTTTGTCATAAAAATTAACTATTTTAAAAGTGAGTATTATTATCATTAATAATTTCAACTTATTCTTTGTAGTATTTACCTAAGTTTACTATACATAGGCAGACTACTCTGCCCAATTTATATATCTGGTGATTTTGAGAAGAAACTAGGCTGCAAGCAAGCTAAATTGTACTAGTTTTACGTTGCTTGGGACCCATATGGAACACAGTGAGGTGCAGTGACCGTGGTACTTAATCTCATTGAGAATAAAACATTATTCAAAACATTATTCAAAATTCATCTATTCCCTTTTTTCTTGAAACTGTTTTTATATGCAAACAAATGATTTATGGCACACTCAATATTGTAAACTGAACTTTATTTGGCATCAAGGGGGGGCACGC